TCTCTCGGTAACGCCCCCTCTTTCTCCATCTAATGCTAATCTCTCTTTACCAAGGCACTAAGAACAGTAACAACAGCCACAATAGTTCTTCTGTTATTATTTTAACTGCACTTTTAAAAATGTTCCATTAGGTTTTAGGTAATCTGGAACAAAAATCACACAGTTCCTAACAAGCAAATGGAAAATGGGCTTTGTGAAAGTGTGAAAACTGCTAGGGTGCAGAAGGCCATTCAATGGAGGAGATAACTTGTCTCTTCAGGAAGGCCTTTCCTGAATGAAAGACTGCCAAGTGGGTTTTTGAAAATGCATTTTTAAAAAATGCATTATTGTACCTTAGAGCAAGGTCTGCGGCCCGATGCTGTTCCGTGGCCATGGCAAGACTAGGCCGCAGAGACAGATCTCTTATACTCCCCTCACCCCACCCGCATGCACAGCCCGCCAACTGAACGCACAGTTGCCCCTCCACAAGCATGCCTTTCGCCTCCGCACATGCATGCAGGCGCCACCCGTATATGCACTCGAGCACACCCCTCCCCACTGTGAGCATTCCCTGCTCCTCCGCACATGCGTGTTAGTGTGATCTGCCCTTCTACAAGCGCAGCCTGCCCACCCGCGTGGACCCCGCCCCCCCAGCCTGTCCGCGATTCAGAAAAAATTGGGGACCATTGCCTTAGACTATTGTTTGTATTTTAGTGTGCCTTATGTTTTTGATATAAATTGCTCATTGGTCCCTTTAGTATTCTTATATTCATTGTTACAAATTTAAGCATTGTCTTTTCATTGTTCTAAGCCAATGTGGGTCCCTTAAGGTTGGGTTACAGAGCTTTTAAATAAATAAATAACACATCCGGTCAGTTTCCAAAAACATCACATCTACGAATGCTCCAATCTACAGTTTACCATTTTATTTTAAAGCAGTGTTCGTCAACTGTGAAGTTTGTAAAACATAAAAGAAGGAATCATTCACCATTTAAATAAAAAAACAATTTCCCCTCGGGAGATCATAAGAGTCGAGACTAGAGGAAAAAGATCGGAAAAGGCAGAGGCCACACTGAGAGAGAGAAGAGAGAATGGCTAGAATGGAGAAAACCACATCAGAACAGGAGATTTCACCCACATAGTGGTGGAGAACTCTGTCCTCAGAGAAGACGACATAGAAGAGTGACAGACAGACATCCATTGCACTGGCAATTTTGAAGGGATGATGCAAAATTGTGAAAAAGAAAATAATCCCAATTCCTAGATTTGGAGAAATTAAATGTTTCAGCAAATTATTCTGTTAACGCCTTCCTTTCTGTGTTTTGAAATCAAATGTTGATTATTTAAAGCAAGAATGAATGTGTAGAGTATCAGTCAATGGAGAACAAAAAGGGGGGCAGAGATAAAACCTCACATGGGTCAGATGAGATTAAAACTAAAGAGGAGAAAAGGACAAAATATTAAGTGCAGTGGTGCCCCACAAGACGATGATAATGCGTTCCATTGAAATAGCTGTTTAGCGAAATCATTGTCTTGCGAAAATCGTTTCCCCATTGGAATGCATTGAAACCCGTTTAATGTGTTCCAGTGGAGAAAATAATTTTCGTCCAGTGAAGATCTCCCATAGGGCAGCCATTTTAAATTGCTGTCTTGCAAAAGAAAACACCCAAGGGAAGCCATTTGCGGAGCCGCCGATCAGCTGTTGAATCGTCCTCTTGCTAAGCATCGGTCCTGGAAAAAAAAGCATCTGGGGAAGAACGGACCGAAACGTTGTCCAGCGAAATTCCCCCATAGGAAGCACTGTTTTGCGAAGCGCAATGGCGGTCGCAAAACCTCGTCGTCATGCAGATTGGTCATTTTGCGGGGTAATTGTCTTGCAAGGTACCACTGTACCTTAAATACCCAACAGATTTATTTCTATGTGGGGTTTCATGCATCCAAATCCACTTTTAATAAATCCTTCTCTTTTTTCCCCATAGATCTATATCACTCTTCGGTTCTGTCTCTCCTGCATTTGTCCTTCTTCCTCAGAGATAACTGGAGGGGAAAAAATCCATATCCAAAATCTCAGAAGAGTTTTACGGACCAATTAGAGGTTACCGGGCACCAGAGAATACTTGCAGAAAGGGAAAGCTGTATTCCAGAGTATCCTTACAAATGCATTGTGTGTGGAAAATATTTTGCCATGAGGATAGCAATGATGCTTCACAAAAGGGTCCACACTAGAAAGGAGTTATTTGTGAGTGAAATTTCTGGGAAATGTTTAAATTCAATGCAACATTTTGTCAATTGTGAAAGAAAGAAACCATACAAATGCCAGGAGTGTGAGAAATGTTTTGCTCGAAATTCACAACTTGTAAGTCATAAGAGACTTCACACAGGAGAAAAACCTTACAAGTTCCAGGAGTGTGGGAAACATAAAAATTCAAGCCTTTGGAATCATATGAGAATCCACACAGGAGAGAAACCATACAAATGCCAGGAGTGTGGGAAATGTTTGGCTCTAAATTCACACCTTGTAAGTCATAAGAGAGTTCACACAGAAGAGAAACCGTACAAATGCCAGGAGTGTGGGAAATGTTTTGCTCGAAATTCACACCTTATAAGTCATAAGAGAGTTCACAAGGGAGAAAAATTTTACAAATGCCAGGAGTGTGGGAAACATTATATTGAGAATTCCAGCCTTTGGAATCATAAGAGAGTTCACACAGGAGAGAGGCCATACAAATGCAAAAAGTGTGGGAAATGTTTTGCTGAGAATTCTACACTTATCAGTCATATGAGAATCCACACAGGAGAGAAACCATACAAATGCCTTGAGTGTGGGAAATGTTTTGCTCGGAATTCACACCTTATAATTCATAAGAGAGTTCACACAGGAGAGAAACCGTACAAATGCCAGGAGTGTGGGAAATGTTTTGCTCGAAATTCACACCTTAGAAGTCATAAGAGAGTTCACACAGGAGAGAAACCGTACAAATGCCCGGAGTGTGGGAAATGTTTTACTCGGAAATCATACCTTGTGAGTCATCAGAAAATCCACACAGGAGAGAGACTGTACAAATGCCAGGAGTGTGAGAAATGTTTTGCTGTGAATTCAAGTCTTGTGAGTCATAAAAGAGTCCACAGAGAATAGAAATTTTACAAATGCCAAGTGTGGAAAATGGTTTGCTGAAGTTTCTCACTTTTTGAATCATAAGACAGTTCACACAAGGCAGAAATTGTAGCAATGCCTGAATTATGGGAAATGTTTTGCTAAGAATTTATCTGTTATGGTCTGTCAGATTTGGGAGAACGCCCCTCCTCAATGTTGATAAGCTGTTGTCTGATTCTACAGTCGTAGAGAATGCTCTCCTGGATGACGTCACATCTGCTTCTGAGAGGAGGCGTCGTAACTCATTCTTCCTCTTTCTCATAGAGATAGAGAGCTAACTTCAAAGCCTTTCTTTAACCAATCCTAATTGGCATTATGTAACCATTACCCTATCTGAACTCTGTCAACTATCTGTATACTATTAATAATTTGTAACATTAATAAAAGGGAGTCCTAAGGGCGTTGCCCCAGAGCAGTGTCTGGAGAGCTGGATTCAGAGGTGTATGGAGAGGCATGTGTGGAGAACTCTGCTAGCAGACAACCCTGTGTGTGACTGACTTCTTTAATTTATCTCTTTATGACTATTTGCTATCTTAATTACTTGTGATCACATACAGTGGTGCCTCGCTTAACGGGCGCCCCATTTAACGACGCAACCGCATAGTGACGAAGATTTTGCGATCGCTTTTGCGATCGCATTGCGATGTTTTAAATGGTAAAAAATCGCTTTGCGATGATCGGTCCCCTGTTTCGCTTACCGATCGGCGGTTCCAAAATGGCCACTGGGTAAACAAAATGGCTGCCTGCTGTGTTTTCGCGCGGTTTCCTCGCTTACCGGACAGCGAAAATGGCGGCCGTATGGAGGATTTTCGCTTTAAGGTGAGTTTTAAGCCCATAGGAACGCATTGAAGGGGTTTCAATGCATTCCTATGGGCTTTTTAAAATTGCATAGCGACGAAATCGCTTTGCAGCGATTTTTGCTGCATGGATTACGTCGCTGTGCAGGGCACCAATGAAACTATCAGCCTTCTCATTTCGTGACCGCAGCAGTCAGGCAGTCCAGTCAAGAGAAAATAGAGAAATGCATGATCTGAACTGAAGAGGCTGAGGTGAGGGCACTTTATGGTGCTTTGTGGTAAGGGTCCAGAGTTGTGACTACTAACTTTGGTGCCCAAAGCTTCCTATGGCTTTGTTATAGATTGAAGATAAGGAATTGGGACGAATTCCTAGTTTAGATTATAAAATGGCCATACTGGTTTTTCATTAAGTCTTTTATTTTGTATTTTTCCATTGCTGTCATTCAATTCCTCAAAATTTCCACTATTTTTTCAGGATCATCGAAATCATAGAAAAGTGAAGTTGGAAGGGGCCTATGAATCCATCAAGTCCAACCTCCTGCTCAATGCAGGAATATAATCAAAGCATATCTGCCAGGTGATTCTCTAAGTTTTTCTTGAGTGCCTGGAGTGTTGGAGCACTCACCAACTCCCAAGGTAACTGGTTTCATAGTTGTACTGCTCTTAACAGTTAAGAATTTTTTTCTTGGTAATTCAGCCGATGTCTGGCTTCCTTTATCTTGAGCCCATTGTTGCATGTCCTGCCCTCTGGGATGATCGAGAATAGATCTTGCCCCTTGTGGAGCCCCAGAGCAGAGACAGGAGGTGTTTTTAGGAGTGCCGTCGCTCCCCACGGTTAATAGGGAGACTCAGACAACCCCACCACCCTCTCCTCCTAAGAAAGAACACCGGAACACAGATACACAGGAGCTGGGGTAGACACTTGGGATCTGCTGGTGGTAAAGAGAGGGTTAAATGTTGCTACCCAGACAGATTAGGAAAGGTGGGAAAGGAGCAACTGCCGGTGGTGGAGGCAGGAGTAGGGGATATAAAAGGGGCCCGGGATGAGATCCCAGGGGGTTGGGAGATGATATGGGTCCAGGATCCCTGGACCGGTAAGTGGGAGCAAGTCCGGGTGCCTCATGAGGAGGCTGAGAAGCGGTAGAGACAAGGTGTACCTCAGAGACCATCTTACTGGGGTGAGGCTGAGACGAAGGAGTGGCGGAGAAAGATAAGAGAAGGAGAGGATTGCTCGTGAGCAGGAAGCGAAACGAGCATGGCATTTGGAGGAGCTCCAGAGGATGGGCTGCTTCCTGGACCATGGCTTGAACCCCTTGGAGTGGGATCCCTGCTATGGGAGAGACCCTCCCCCTTCTGACCCCCGATGAAGAAGAGGGTGAATCCCAAGGACCTGAAAAGGTGTTGGCTGGACCGTGGGATTTGAAGGACGTTAATCCGTTTTGTAACAGTTCATGGACACCCTTGCGTGCTACGTTTCAGCCTTCTCCAAGAGGACGGAGCCCAGGATTTGCCAAAAAACAGTATTTTGGTTTTCTCTGAATTTATTGTTAGGTCGTTGCTGGAGCAGTATTGTTGAAAGGAGAGGAAGAGCCTGCGGAGGCCCAATTTAGTGATAGAGAGGAGAAGGGCATCGTCCGCATACATAAGGAGAGGGGTAGGCGAGTTGTTTAGAACGGGGGGGGGGGGGGGGGCGCAGGGGAGGAATGTAAACGCTGTATTAGAAACAGGAGGGGTTGATCAATCCCCCAGTCAAGATATACTATGTCTACAGCATTCCCTCTATCTAGAAGGGAGGTGACCTCTTCAAAAGATGAGATTCCATACCTAGTTAGCTCGCTAATCAGGATATCATAGGGCACTTTGTCAAAAGCTTTGCTGAAGTCAAGATATACTATGTCTGCAGCATTCCCTCTATCTAGAAGGGAGGTGACCTCTTCAAAAAATGAGATCAAATTAGTTTGATAGGATTTGTTCTTGACAAATCTGTGTTAGCTTCTAATTATCACTGCATTGTTATCTAGTACCAGCATTCCTGCGCTTGGGGGAGCCGAAGACCTGTCTGCTACAGGTCACTGTGTGAGAGACAGTGGGACTGTGGTTGGGCTGCTGTCAGCTGCCAGCTTTTCCCAAGGAAACCGGCTCAGTCTCCTTCTGCTATGCAGGACCGGGCCCTGTCACTCCTGGATGCCCCACTTGCTCCTCAACATCAGCCACCTGGTTGGGGGAGAGAAGGGGCTTTGGAAGGTTTTGTTTTGTTTTTGTTTTAAATTGTGATTATTCATTCCCAATCAATTAAGTGAGACCCACAGTGGGGCACCATTTATTATGTGGGAACCTGTGTCTTTCACTGGGATATGACTCCTCTAGACTAAGCAGTGTTTCCCAGCCTTTTCTGAACCACGGACCAGTTGGGGGGCAGGCTCTGTGGGCAGGTGGGTGGGGCAAACTCATGCGCATGTGCAGATGGGCAGAACACACTCGTGGGTGGGTGGGGCACATTCGCAGATGGACGGGGTGCTCTCTCCATACGCACGGATGGGCAGGGCACTTCTGCGTGTAGGTGGACATGTATGGGGGAAGTGAGCCTTGGGGGGCGGGGGGCGGGAGATCTATATCCACGGCCGGGTCCTGCAAAGGCCACGGACTGGCACCGGGCGGACCGGGGGTGAGGATCCCTGCTCTAGAAGCCTTCACCATCACCTCTGCTGGCCAAGATTTCTGGGAGTTGAAGTCTAAGAACATCTGGAAGCCCACTGCTCTAGAGGTTTTTTTTAGCTTTCATTTCTTCATTTCATGATCTCACTGTAAGAGAAGCGTATGCGAATGGCTTCCCATCCCTTTGGTCTGTCCCGCAGGGTCTGTGAAGATGCTAACGACAAGTATTCCTTCGTCTCTTCCTGGTGATGCAGCGGAACCAGATCAGGTACAAAGAAGGCAGTTACAGAATACAACATTGGTTTGAATCTTGGACTATTCAACCACTTT